AAAATTTGGCATGGTATATTATTACCTGGCATAGCCGCGACTGCGCGCAAGCCATGAAGAGAGTCAAACCAAGCCAAACTCCATGAAGGCCAAAAATGGAAGGAGCATATAGCAAAAATGCGGAAGATATTGCACCCACTACCATCTATTAATAATAGAAATTTTGTCAACAACAAAAAAAGATTACGTGCACTTTCATAAAGTAATAATAAAGACATGACTGAATAACTTCGGCTTTTCTAAGATCATCTCCAACTGAAGGGTCCAGAGGGTCAGAGCGCTGAAAATAACCCGAAAATCGTTTCCAACCGAAGGTTAGGCAAATGGCTCGTGGGCCCCACGAAATCTGAAAGGGCTAAAGGACCAACCGGCTGACCCAATCTAGCCAGCCAGCCAATCCCGGGATGGCCAGAAATTCTAGGCCAAATTTCAAATGCAACGGCTAGCTAACATCAGCTAGCCGTTATTTTTTAATTTTTTTTTACACAATTTTTTTCCTATAACTTTTATTTTATTTTTCTATTACTTCCTATAACTTCCATTTTACAAAATTTGTTTTATATTTTTTTTCCTATAACTTCTATTTTACAAAATTTGTTTTATTGTAGGCCTATTTGATTGAATGATCTAAGGTTTAGAGAGAGAGGGGAGGCCGGCAATATTGAGGGAGAAGATAGTGATTTAATTGTGAGGTATGTTTGATTCACCCCATTGTGCCATTATTTATAGTAGTAGGATAGGTAAAAACCTTTCTCTTTAGGATTACAACATTTAATAGGTAATCAACTCCTAATAGGAATATAAGATACATTTCCTTATCTACTAGGATTTACACAATCACATTCATATTCTAAATATGATTGCAACACTCCCCCTTGAGTGTATAAATACTCAACAAAACATCGTATCAAATCTTCAGCAGATAAGGTAGAATAGTTGATGAAGTCATCGGCACAATAGGTGATTCTGAGTCTCAAAATTCACAAAAACCTCACTATGGTAAAATTCACAAAAAACCTCACTATGGTAAAACCTAAGGCATAGGGAAAAACCATAGACTCAGGAGAAAAGTGAGAAGTATGCATAATGTCTTAAACAAACGTCAAACAGGACGAAAGTAGTGAACTCAACGGAGTATGATCATCCCAGGATGGGTGCCTCATTAAAACCTCGTTACCTAGTAAAAACCCAGTGGGAAAAATGCTCCTAATCATAAGAAAAAGAGTACATTAAGATCATGTGAGTATGCTTCTAGATACTCCCTCTGAGTTAGACATAACTTCTAAATAAGAGAATTACAAGCAATTCAACTCAGATAATTTACGTATACTGATTCCTTGAACAAGCTTTTGAAAAGTATACTTGGGCAATGACTTGGTGAAGAGATCGGCCAGGTTGTCTTGGGAACTGATTTGCTTGACTTCAATGTTCTGATGCTGCTGTTGTTGGTGTGAGTAAAAGAACTTCAGCGTTATGTGCTTGGTGTTGTTTCCTTTGATGTATCTTTTCTTCAACTGCTTGATACATGCTGCATTGTCTTCAAAGATCGTCATAGGAAGGTCAACAACTGATGTAAGACCACTAGTGCTTCGAATGTGTCCCATAACTTCTCTCAGCCAAAAGCACTCATGCGATGCTTCATGCAGGGCAAGAATCTCAGCATGGTTCAACAAAGTCGTAACTAGCGTTTGCTTGGTAGACTTCCAAGATATAACGGTGTCTCCAACGGTAAAGACATAACCTGTTTGAGAACGTGCCCTATGTGGGTTAGACAGATATCCAGCATCTGCATAACCAACAAGGCGAGAATCAATCCAAGAACCATAGGGGGTGGCAACACTGGAAGATTCATGGGTATAGAACAAGCCCAAATCTGTAGTACCCTTGAGGTAGTGGAAAATGTCTTTAACACCATTCCATTGCCTGTGTGTGGGCACATTGTTGCATCTTGCCAAAAGATTCACAGTGAAGGAGATGTCAGGTCTAGTGCACTGAACCAAGTATAATAAAGCCCCAATTGTACTTAGGTAAGGAACTTCGGGTTCCAAAATCTTTTCCTCATCCTCCTTTGGACGGAAGGGATCTTGTTTAGCATCTAGAGTCCAAACGACCATAGATGTACTCGATGGCTTCGCTTTATCCTCATTAAAAGGAAGCAACACATTTTGGGTGTAGTTCGATTAATGTACTAGGATTCCATCCGAACAATGCTCGATCTCTAGGCCGAGACAGTATCAAGTTTTTCCAAGATCCTTCATCTCAAATTTCAATTGCAAGTGTGCAGCAATTTCTTCAAGCTCTGCGGGAGTCTCGATGAGGTTCATGACATCGACATAAATTGCAACGATTGCAAATCCAGAATATGACTTCTTTATGAACACGCATAGGCATAATTTGTTGTTCACATAACCCTGACTTGTCAAATATTCACTCAGACGGTATACCACATCTGCCCGAATTGTTTCAATTCGTAAAGTGACCTCCTCAACCTAATTGAGAGAGTGATTTATGGTCTAGAACTATTTGAACCAGTCAATGGAAGTCATTCTGGAACTTTCATGTAAATTTCCGTATCTAGATCCCCATAAATATACTCGGGTACCACATCCATAAGCTGCATATTCAGATTTTGGGAAACTACCAAACTGATTAGGTAGCGGAATGTTATAACGTCCATTACGGGGGAATACGTCTCCTCGTAATCAATCCCAGGACACTAAGAGAAACCTTGCGTTACGAGGCATGCTTTGTATCTTACTATTTCATTCTTCTCATTACGCTTTTTCATGAAAACCCACTTGTAGCCAACGGGCTTCACGCGTGGTGGTGTAAGAACGATAGGTCCAAACACTTTACGTTTCGCGAGCGAATTGAGTTCGACCTAGATTGCTTGTTTTCAGTTTGACTAATCGGTTTTACATGGACATTCATCGACGGAACATGGTTCAATGTCATCGCTAAGCATGATGTCAGTAACTACTGAGTACGTGAATGCATAGTTGATGATCATCTTATTCCTATTCCAAACCTCATCCAATACTGCGTAATAGACCGAAATCTCATGATTCTCGAGAGGCTGACATGTTTCGTCTGAAGCATAATCGTAATCTAGAATAACCTCATACGTTGGAACGAATGAGTGAGCGATGATCGGATTCAAACTAGGGTCACTAATTGGTGTCATCTTCTTATTCTGGGGTTGTGAATCATTTGAACGAAGGAGTCTACCATGCTTCAGGGTTGGAGCAGATGATTAGCTAGCCGCTAATGTACCTTGCCGCATGGAAGGTGTGGCCTCCCTACCTTCCGGGATGGTCCGGCCTTCCCAAGTGGGTTGTGGACGTACGCAGGGTACATCTATCCTTACAGGTGCATTTGCAGCGGGTATATGTTATCTTGTCTCCTTTGTTAGATCATTAAAAGCATCCTGCATGCTTTGAGCAATGCTCTGAAGATTTATAATTTGTTGCACCTTAGTTTCAGACTAGGCAGTGCGAGGATGTAAATGAGAAATAGTGGGAGCATACCACGATAATTCGCGGCGTTCTACGAGGAACGTTAGCATGCTTATCTCCCCATAACGACGGGAAGACTGTTTCATCAAAGTGACAATCATCAAAATGTTCGGTAAAGAGATCTCCTGTCAAGGGTTTTAAGTAACGAACAATTGATGGCGAATCATAATAGACATAGATTCCCATTTTTCTCTGGACCCATTTTGGTATGTAGCGACGACGTTATTAGCACATAAATGGCGGACCTAAACACCCGTAAATGTAAGACGTCAGGCTCGTATCCAATGACCAACTGTAATGGTGAATGTGGTTGAGTAGCGGTGGGCCTCAGGCGGACCAACATAGCTACGTGCAATATTGCATAGCCCCTGACAGATACCGACAATTTAGTTCTCATAACCAAAGTCATAGCTATCAATTAAAGGTGCTTTATAAAAGCTTCTGCCATGCCATTTTGGGTGTGAACATGGGGTACATGATGTTCCACATCAATCTTTGCTGACATACAATAATCGTCAAAAGTCTGTGACGTAAACTTTCCAGCGTTATCCAATCGAATCGACTTTATCGAATAATCAGGGTGGTAAGCACTAAGCTTAATGATTTGGGCCAGGAGTTTAGCAAACGTGGCGTTACGTGTGGACAACAGGCAAACATGTGACCATCATGTTGATGCATCAACCAACACCATAAAGTATCTAAATGGTCTGCAGGCTGGTTAGATAAGTCCACAAATGTCCCCTTGAACCTCTGAAGAAACTTAGAGGGGTCATGAATAATCTTTGTATATGAGGGTTGATTATTCAATTTCCTTAAAGAATACGCTTTGCATGGTGGGAGTCCAACATAGGGATGTAACTTATGTCCGTGTGAAGATTTGAGGATACGGCGCATCATGTCACATCCATAATGTCCTAAACGGTCATTCCAAAGCAACAAATTGTCCTGGAACTCATGCATAGGGTCAGCCACATTGTGGGCTTCTATGCCGCAAATGGTTGTGATGTACAACCCACTCGGCAAACGTTCCAACTTCTCGTGAATACGTTTCAGGCCATATTCGTATGAGGTAATACAAAGAAATTCATAACCATTATCTTCAATGGTTTCAATATGACATTGATTATCTCGAATATCTCTAAAACTCAACAACGCTCTTCTGGAATGTGGATAATAGAGTGTCTCATTAATGGTCAAGATTGTACCATTGGACAACATGATACATGCCTTTCTGTATCCTTCAATCAAGTTGGATGAGCCTGAGAGAGTTGTCAAATGAGCTTTCTTGGGTATTAAGTTAGTAAAATAGTGTCGTTCACGCAAGATGTTATGCGTGGTTGCACTATCTGCCAGACAACTAACTTCCCCACTAGACATACCTAGAAATAAATTGATTGAATTGGTCACATGTATAAATATAAGTCTATTCATTCAATTAAGCAATTCGAGAAAATAATATCCATTCAAATAACAATCCATAATTCAAAACAAACCAAAACCATACAAATTATTCCAAATACTTAGAAAAATTGTTCAAAATTAAACCATAAACCTAGAAAAATAGGGGAGGTAAGGCTGACCACTTCTAGTGGATTCGGTAAACACCCTAAAAACATGTCTAATTTATTCATCCATAGGAGCTGAGCCTCCTGAAATTATGACATCTCCATTGATGTAGTTGCATCTTCCAGACGATCCACATGTGCAAAGTTAGACTCACAACAGGAATGACACTTGGCAATAGCCTCAGGGGAAGCTCAGTATACGCGTGACCAATGATCCCTTGATCCACGGCGATAACACATGTCTAGTTCAGTAGAACCATGTTGAACAGAAGCTTTGCCCTTCTTTTTGAAGTTTAGGGTCATAGAGGCGAGTGATGGACGATGCTGGGGCACATTTATTCCTTTAGGTGCAACACTTTATTGACCTTGGGTCTGTGGTGGGGCTTGCTCCCATTGCCACGGCTACGACGATTCTTTTGTCATTGATGGCTGCTAGAATTAATCACATGCGCTTCAGGCGCGGCGTTCAAGCCAATTAGTCGAGCTTGATGATTTTCATTAAAAGTTGGTTCTGCTTTTCAGCAATAACTAAAACAGAGATCAAACCCAAAAACTTGGTGAATTTTTGTGCTCTATATTGTTGCTGCAGGACAATATTGGTGGCATGGAAGGTTGAATAGATTTTCTCCATTGATTCGGTTAGTTCCACTTTTCAGAATTTCAACAGTGAACGAATTCTACAAACTTCAGAGTTGTATTCATTCACGAACTTAAAGTCCTGGAAACGAAGATGCTGCCAGTCATGTCTTATTTCAAGCAAGTATATGTCTTGAGCAAGCCAGAAGGTGCGTGGGTCCTCATCAGCGAGATACTCAGTCTACAGTGCATCATGGATGTGTCTTCGAATGAAGATTATTGCAGTAGCCTTCTGAGTTTCATCAACAGGTTTGTCGGCGATAGGTGTTTCAATGGTGGCTCTAATACCCTTTGCAGTCAGATGAAGCTTCACGTCTTGAACCCACTTCAAATAGTTTCTTCCAGAGACTTCTAGAGCAGAGAAATCGAGCTTGTTCAAGTTCGACATGTCCCTAAAACAGAGGGAAAAACATGATTAGTCATATGGAAGCCATAGACATATATCATAGAACATACAGGTTTTATAGACATGTATTAGTTTAATTTATACATGAAAATTGCAGGTCTCATGTGGTATCTTTTAAATGAAAACTTCAGGTTTCAAAGGCACTAAATTTAAAACTACAAGTTCAATTTAGTTTTTATGAACAATTAGTTCATAATGAGAGGTTCCTGCGAGAAACACATAATGCAATATACTAATTTAAATATAGTGGATTTGAGGTTCTTCAGGAACTCAAGTGTGAGAGCTTCGTTACTACAAAAGTATGTCACGGTTCAAAGTATAAAAATAAATTATTGAATCGTTAATGTCCAAAAGTGATCTTTAGGTCAATAATTTTGGATTCATTATCAGATTAATGGATTGCAGGTCATTTTTAATTAATTCAATAAATCGGGCCATACGAGGTCGATTGTAGAAGCTAAATAATATTATTGGATCGAAAATATAGCCCCAAAAATATTTGGGCTCGGGTTGGGTGCCTTGAGTAAAAGGCAAGGCCCAAAAAGGCCTTGGGAGTGGGTTACAGGCTACCGGGGGAAGGGGAGGGGGGTGGGAGAAACCCCAGCAGCAGCTAGGTTTCAATTTTTGTCCTAAGGGAGGGCACGGCATAAGGCCCAGTGAAAGCTAGCCTATGGGTTTGGTGCAAGAAGCCCAGCCGCATGGGTTGGCTGTAGGTGATGCACGGAGTAAGTTGCAGGGACCAAGCCCAACCTTGTGCGCTGGCGTGGAGGAAACAGGTCGTGACGCTGGCCAAGGTGTTGGCTGTGGGACTGGGCAACACAAAACCTAACAACCATAAAGGTTGCTACGTGCAAGGGGAAAATCCCAGCCAATCTAGGTTGGTTGAATGGCGTGGGCCATGGTGCAAATAGGCAAAGGGCTTCAAGCCCATCAGATTGACCCCAAGCGGAGGCCTGGTTTTTGCGTGCATAGTGATGGTGCGGTGGGTGTGCCACACCATGTCTAATTTCCCTTTTTTTCAAAATCCCTTAAGGTTGAGGAAACACTAAATATGCTTCTAATTTAATTTTATACATTGACTCACATATTCCACATAACAATTTAATTGTGCGATGCATGAAACAAATATATGAACATATACAATATATATATATATATATATCGAAAGGAAAATATAAACATAGAGGGGTTCATGCATCATGGGGAATGTTTTCATGCTTCGTGGACATTTCAAATATCTTCTTTTATTTTAAACGCACCTGATTAGCATAAAACAAAAATAAGCCTTTGAATTTGGTGGAAGATAGCCTCCTCATACGATGCGTCCATTCTTCAACTTCTGGCAAGAGCGTGCTGATAACGTGTTATAGGCCTATTTGATTGAACGATCTAGGGTTTAGAGAGAGAGAGGGGGCCGTCAATATTGAGGGAGAAGAGAGAGAGTGATTTAATTGTGAGTTGTGTTTCATTCACCCCATTGTGCCATTATATATAGAAGTAGGATAGGTAAAAACCTTTCCCTTTAGGATTACAACATTTAATAGGTAATCTACTTCTAATAGGAATATAAGATACATTCTCATATCTACTAGGATTTACACAATCACATTCCTATTATAAATATGACTGCAACATTAAATTTGTTTCATATATTTTTTAAATTCTATTTTTTTTTCCTCTAACTTCGTAAGCCATTATACAACATTAAATTAAATTAAGTAACATGAAACAACATTTTAAATAATAAATTATGTTTATCCCTATGGCCCTTTGGCCCTCGGTTGGAAACGGTTTTTTGTGACAAGGCTAAAATGAGCCTATGACCCTTTAGTCCTCGGTTGGAGATGAAGGTAAATATGACCATGTACTGTTCATTAAAATATTAATATCATAGAGGACCAGAGGGCTAAAACAAACCCTCTGGCCAGCCTGAGATGGTCTAAATGAGCAAGCTTACCATGGAGCGAGCAGCATATGCAAAATCTGAAACACCATAATGGAGGCCATAAAAAACGTAAGCTAGAGCATTCAAACGCTGACTAGCACTGACAAACTGTGGAAAATTAAACATCATTACCTATGTTCAAGACATCTGCATTTGCATGAATCTAGACTAATATACCGCCAAACATAAATTTGAGTACGTACCAATATCCCAGATCTAACAATAGCTAATACTTCAGGATCGTTGGTGAACAACGTAGCTAGAGAACCAAAAGGTACTCCCAAAATTACAGACAAGGAAATACCTGTGAACAATCCTATCTGAAAAAAACATTCACGTAAATTTATCGTTTTTGAAATCAAGAAACTACATATGCAATGTAACAAAACTACACCACAGATAAGTCAATAAAACAAATACCTTTAACACAGAGTCAACAACTTCTTTCACAATTTTGTATTCACCTTTTGATAAGTAACTTGCAATCAGGGCCTGCAAATAGAGACATTTTAGCTTCATAACTTTGATGCCATATACAAAGACACAATTCTTCAAAAACTCCAACTCAGAGAAGACAAATATCAGTGAATTTAGTGAAACTATACATAGGCTTCACATGTTGATTCAATAATGGAAACAAGTAGATACAGACTACCATGATAAAAAGAGCGAGTCCATACCTGACCAGATGCAGCCATTGCACCAGTTAAAAGGGATACAGCCAACCATACTTGAATACATATCTGATGAGCAGCCATAGCTATTAGACCTTGACGAGCCACCATTGATGTTCCCAATGTCAAGGTCGTAAGACAAGCAATAGTTCGTCCAAGAAGAAAGCCACCTACACCATCGCAGAGTTGTTACCAAAAGCAATTAGGTAACAAACTTTGAATATGAAGACGAGAGAATTATCGCTGGGGTAATGAAAGAACTATTGCTTGTCTTACAAGGCAAGGCATGTCGCCTTCCATTTTCCTCTCGGACGTCCATGGCTCCATATCCTTTAGACGTCTTACATCTTGATGTATGGGGCCCCGCTCCTATTGTGTCTAATTTTGGCTACAAGTACTATTTATCTATGGTGGATGATTATTCAAGATTTGTGTGGTTGTTCCCTCTTGTTCGTAAGTCCGATGTCATGACTACCCTTGTTACTTTCAAACGCATAATTGAAAATCGTTTGAATCGCACTATTAAAGTATTACAAACGGATGGTGGTGGTGAATTCACAAGCCTTGCATTTCGGCATTTTCTTCGTGATCATGTCATAACACACCAACTCTCTTGCCCACATACGCCACAACAAAATGGTATAGTTGAGCGCAAACATCGCCATGTTACCGAAATGGGACTATGTCTCCTTGCTCAATCTCATATCCCGCAAACGTTTTGGGTGGAGGCCTTCACAACCGCCGTATTTCTTATAAATCGGTTGCCTCTTCATAATCTTGGGAATGTTTCTCCTTATGAAAAACTATTTGCCAAAGTTCCTGATTACCGATTTCTTAAGACGTTTGGGTGCACATGCTTTCCCCACTTGGTTCCTTACAACAAACATAAGTTAATGCCCAAGTCCATCCCATGTGTCTTCATTGGTTACGACCAAGGAAGAAAAAATCGATAATATCGGCGATATTTCGCCGATATTATCGTTTTTTTGGGGGTCCGATATTTTTTTAACTATCCAAATGATTTTCGTCAAAATATCGCGATATTATCGATAATATTGATAATATCGCGATATTTTCGATAATATTGATATTTTAGCACTGTGCTAATCGGAGAAGAACGCCGAAGCTTCTACAGCTTCGGCCGACTGTAAAAAACCTCCTCCATCAGAACCTTGAAGGGGAACTGCGGATCGGCGGTGACTCAGGATCTCTACCCATTAAGAAACATACCCAGAACTCCGAATCTTGAAACCGACGACGATGAGAGACATTGAAAGGGTGGTGGTGCGGAGCACCCGAGTCGGTGAGAACACCGGATCTCAACGCACCCTCTCGAAATACCGCAGCAAAACGCGGTTTGAAAGCAGCTGCATGTGGGATCTGAAAGATGAAGGAGGATGATCGCCGCTGGGGGTGGGTAGGAGGACATGGCCGGATCAGGAAATGACGCAGGGGGGAAAAGAAAAAACAGAGGAGAAAGCAAAAAGAAAAACAGAAGAAAAAGAAAAAGAAGAAAAGACAGAGGAACAGACCAAGAAGGGAAAAACAAGAGAAAAACAGGAGGAGGAAGGGGGAAAGGGCAACCGACTCCAGCCGAAGCCAGAGTCGGCGCCGGAGAAAATGAGGTGAGAGAACGAGAGTTCGAAAGAGATATAGAGTTGAGAACTGAGAGAGAGTGAGGGGTCCGAGAGGGACTCGGGAAAAGAGAGAGAGAGAGATAGGGTGAGGGTTAGTGGTCTGCCACGTGGCAGCGTGACAGAGAGTGAGAATCAAGATGGAGGGTCCAGATTAGATTAGGATAAAGGACTCAATTGCACAATTTATATAATTTCAGGGAAAGAGTGAAAATATAGATTAATCTAGGGGTCCAGATTAGATTAGGATAAAGGACTCAATTTCAAGGAAAAAGTGAAAATATATAATTTCAGGGAAAGAGTGAAAAATTTGAAACTTAAAGAGTGAAAAATTTGCCAGGTCGCTATATAATCAACTTAAATCAGTTAAATCCATCATGCAATGCATTTCCTTCCAATTTTTTATGATAAACTAATAGATAATTGACTAAATAAACATCCTGCAAAGTTTCATTAAAAATTTCCAAGTTTTTCTTACAATTTCCGTGGTTTCCATGTAATTTTTATCGATATCGATATTATCCCGATATTTCCATCGATATTTCCGTGTTTTCGGACTACCGATATTACCGATATTTTCTTCCTTGGTTACGATAACAACTACAAAGGCTACCGCTGTCTCGATGTTGTTTCTGGTAAGGTGTATATTTCTCGCAATGTACAATTTGATGAACTCACCTTTCCGTATAAAAATCGCAGGACAGATTCTCCTCATCACGAGCAGTCCCATCAACCATTATTTTTGGAGCCACTGATGCATGCAGCAATACCTGTGTTTCCCCGCAACATTCTAACAACTGCTTCTGATCCTCCACCACCTCACTTTCCACCCACGGCTATTGCAGCGCTTATACCAACTTCACCTGCAGCATTTTTTCAGTCATCTGCATCCACCACTGCTTCCTCACCGCAACCTGTCCCTTCTCCAGATTCTACTCCTCCACGCAAGTTTAGGAGCATCAATGCCCTCACTTACGACTCGCCCAGACATCCACTTCCTCACGGTTTAACCGCTGCATTTGAAGATCCTATGTCCATTAAGCCCACTAGCTATACTCAAGCGTCTAAGTTCCCGCATTGGCAGCAAGCGATGAAAGAGGAACATGATGCACTTCTTCAGAATCACACCTGGTCTCTTGTTCTTGTTACTCCTCATATGAATATTGTGGGATGCAAATGGGTATTTCGTGTTCAACGAAAGGCCGACGGCTCCATTGACCGCCACAAGGCTCGTCTCGTCGCCAAGGGGTTCAATCAACAAGTTGGGGTTGACTACGATGAGACCTTTAGTCCTGTTGTTAAACCAGGTACTATTCGTACCATTCTTGCCTTAGCAGTCTCACAAAATTGGTCATTGCAGCAACTTGACGTCCGCAATGCTTTCTTGAATGGTATTCTTCACGAGGAAGTTTATATGAAACAACCTCCTGGCTTTGTTGATTCCTACCACTCCTAGTATGTTTGTCGCCTTCACAAGGCTCTTTATGGCCTCAAACAAGCACCCCGCGCTTGGTTCCAGCGTTTAGCCTCATTCTTGCGTAATCAAGGCTTTTCCTATAGCAAATCGGATGCATCCTTGTTTATTTACCATTCCTCTACATACTCACTCTATGTTCTGGTATACGTTGATGATCTCATTGTCACAGGTTTAAACAATGATGCTATTCACAGGTTCATTGATACAATATGTACCAGCTTTGCTAGCCGCAAGCTAGGTGACCTCCATTTTTTTCTTGGAATGGAAGTCACTCGACGAGGCCGCCAACTATCTCTAGCTCAAAGCCGTTATGCCTCTGATTTATTACAGAAATTTAAGATGGACCAGTGCAAGCCCAGCCCTACACCATTCCTTTCCTCTTTGCGTTTGTCTGCTCATGATGGTTATCCTATCTCGGATCCTGATGTCTATTGGAGCATGGTTGGTGGACTTCAGTACCTGACCCTCACCCGCCCTGACATTTCCTTTGCCGTTAATCAAGTTTGTCAGTACATGTACAACCCCAAATCAACTCATCTTCAGGCCGTCAAACGTATCTACCGCTACATCAAAGGGACTGTTGAACAAGGTATTTTATTTCGTTCGTCTCCAGACTTCTCTATTCAGGGCTTTTCTGATGCTGACTGGGTCGGTTCCATTGATGATCGTCGCTCAACAAGTGGTGCTTGCATTTTTCTTGGTCCCAACCTCCTTACATGGACCGCCAAAAAGCAATCCACAGTGTCTCGTTCTAGTTCCGAAGCTGAATATCGTGCTCTTGCCACCACAGCCGCTAAAATTCGTTGGTTTTGCTATCTTTTCCGTGAACTAGGCATTCCGCTTCGTACTCCACCTTGCATTTTCGTCGACAATGTCTCTGCCCTTCACATGGCAGCCAACCCAGTTTTTCATACGCGTACTTGTCACACAGAGATTGACTACCACTTTGTTCGAGAGCTTCTCACCCATGGTGTCCTTCAAACTCGACACATCTCCTCTCATCATCAAATCGCTGATATCTTCAGCAAGGGACTTTCACGTGATCGATTCTCTTTCCTTGCTTCCAAGCTCAATCTACACTTTGTTCAGTTTCGCTTGAGGGGGGATGACAAGAGTATTGAATCAACCACAAATCTCTCCACCACATCTGCTGTCTAAACATAATCCCACCATTCTCTCTATATTGTTTTATGTAAATAATCAAGAGTTATTAGTTACCTTTTATGTTGTACAAAGTCAACTACAGGCTTGTATATATCTTGTATCAATATGATAAACAAATGATTAAGGAATTTATTCATAATACAAAACTGCTTCTTTCTGTCACTATCTATTTCTCTATAATATTAGGGGGAAAAAAGATCTTCCTTAAATTAAACAGTCAAATATGAGAGGGGAAACCAGGAAACGTATAAGCTCCCCACATAACCAAAAATAAAAAATCAAATTAAGTAACCGCACATGCACAAGACCTAGAAACTTGTATAGTAATTGTTCACATATATATAATTGCATTTATGTATACAAAAAATTAAAGTTTGTATAATCATGTAAATAGATATAAGACAAGGAAGACAAACAAATCAGTATGAGAAGTAATTTTAGATCAAGTAACCTACTGATGATATGCCCATCATATTTAGAAACAACCCAGATCCCAAGGACAGGGCCACGGCCTCAAAGATTCCAATCCCAACTGCTAACAATAAAGCTGTAGACACTGAAGATAGCTGCTTTCTCTCAACGATTCCATCAAAAGGTTTGGGTTTACCATTAGTATTGCCGTCTAGATAACCATTTTCTGTACGAAAATCAGCCAAAATCAGATTCCCCAAAAAAAAAAAAGGTTTAAGTAATCTCTGCTCTAATTTAGACGTAAAGACAGACCAAATATGTGTACAACAAAGATGACCAGGGAAGTATAACAAAAGTTGAACTTCACCTGAAGTAGAACTTTACTTTCACTCTTAGCAAGGTCTTCAGCAACAAAAGATGTAGCAACACTGAGGAGAGGGATATTAAATATCTTTGAGATATAATTAAAGATGTTCATTGAAATACCAGCTGAAGCCAATGTTGTGCTAGGATAGCACCAAACCTTATGGAACCAACTCTTGATAACCCACAGAAAATATATCAAATGAAATGCAAGAACAAAATATTAAAGACACCAAGATTTTAACGAGGTTCCTCAACAGTCAGTGTAACTGGAGTACGTCCTCGGAGCAGTAGGAGCTCACCCAATAATCCACTATCAACCAAATGGGAGTTTACAAAGTGTTGGCAATCTCACAACCCAAATAACCCAATACACCCAATAGCTCTCACACACCAAAGAAACAAATAGAGTAAGAAATATAATGAATA